AAGTGGGGATGAAATGACACCTGATCATGCCCCTGATGGTGGCAATTTACTTTCCCTTTGCACAGGTTGCAAATCCATGAGGAATCAGATCATAGATTCCAAGGCCAGAAGGACCACTGTGATCATCTAGTCTGACCTCCTGTATAATACAGGCCAGAGTAGGGGAGGTTACTTACCTGTAACGGGAGATTCTTCAAGATGTGTTGTCACTATCTGTATTCCACTGAGGGGTGCCCAGAGCTGGAGCTTTTCAAAGTACTAGTATCCGTTAGTCTGTGCATACACCCTTACATTGCCTTACACTGTGGTTTTGCCTGAGGCAATAAAAGGCGGGGTGGACCGACTGTGTCTTCGATTCCTTCTTCACTGAAGACCTATCAGATCCGCAGCAAAGGGGAAGGAGGGTGGGTTTCGGAATACAGACAGGGACCACACATCTCAAAGAACCTCCAGTTACAGGTAAATAACCTCCCCTTTGTCTTCTTCAAGTAATTAACAAGCAGTACCTAGGTAGGCAGGTGTCCGAGGAAGACAATGGAATCATTGAGGGAGAACAAACAAGGGCAGGAAGTCCAGAGACTTGCAGAACTTTCAGAAACAAGAAAACTACTATTGAACACCATGGAAGATCCTGTCTATATGCAGTACCCAGACATGGGTGCTGGAGGGGACAGGGGTTGGAGGTATTTTTGTTTGGAAACTGTCAAAGTGGTATCCCCAGTCCTTAACTCTATGAAACTCTCAGAAACACGAAACTACTACACAAACCATTAAAATTCCTGACTAACTAAAGAGTAAAACCATTTTATTTGGAAAATGCTTCACCAAGGATGAGAGGCCAACAGAAGCTGTGACTTAGACCATGCGGCAGTAAGAAGGAACTGAAGACACAGTCAGTCTGCCCCATCCTTTATCACCTTGGGCAAAACCACCAGGCAATGTAAGGACACATGCATGGACCGACAGACGCCACTACCCTGAAAAACTCGGGATGCATGGTGCACGCACATTACCTTCAGTGAAATACAACAGAGACCCCAGCACTGAAAGATCTTCCCTGATTTAATTCTATTTGAACTAGAGCAGATTTCCTACAAAAAACATCCAAACTTGATTTGAAAATTGCCAGTGATGGAGAATCTACCACAACCCTTGGTAAATTGTTCCAATGGTTATTCCCCTCACTGATAACATTTTACACATTTCCAGTCTGAATTTGTCCAGCTTCAACTGCCAGTCACTGGATTATATTAGACCTTTCTCTGTCAGACTGAAGATCCCATTATTTAATATTTGTTCTCCATGTAGGTGCTTAGAGACTGTGATCAAGTCACCCCTTAACCCTCTCATCTAGCCCCTCATCATCTTGTATCTATACAGCTGTAACCTCCTCCTCTCTGGCCTGGACAAATCCCATCTTCCCCCCACCCTCCACTGAATCTGTTCCAAACCCTGCCACAAAGATCATTGTCCTGGTTCATCACTTTGATCACATCACACCCGACACTGTGGCATTTTCTCCGCTCCACCATATCAAGCTTCACTTTTCTGGACCTGCACTGCTGGTACTCACCCTGCCTCTCATCGCTCTTCTTCTAAATATTTCCTTAAACACAACTGATGCTATGCTGCCTACAGCTGTGTGAATAATGGTTGTGGGGTTATTTTGGTTTGGCTGACAATTCCAAACAAATCAGGAAAAATATCTGTTTTGGGTCAAACATTTCATTGTGATTTCAAGCATTTTTAAACTATTTAAAAAAAAATCAAAGGAAATTTCTAAATGAAAAGTCACATTTCAAATCAAAAACTTGAAACATTTCAGTTGATAAATGTCAAAACAAAAATGGTGGTTTTTTCTGTTTGGTTTTGTTTTGTTTTCAACCAACCAAAGCAACTGAGTGAAAGCAACATAAATTTGCAAAATTGTTTTGATGTCACCGAATTTGCTTTTTTCAGCAAAAAAAATTTTGTCCAAAAATGTTCCCCAACTCTACTTTCCAGGACCTTCACAGCTGGTCCCTACTCTGTCTCTCATACTCCACCTCCCTCTAAATCTCTCCTTAAAAACAGGTGATGCTGTGATGGTCCCCCATGGTACGCAGCTACTGTTGTTTATTCTTCCAATAATAATCATCCCACTGCTGTCTTCCCCATCTGTCTGTATCTCCGTTTAAGTTCTGTGAGGGAAAGACCATCTTTCTGATTGTCAATTAGTCAACTCACCCTTTTTAGCCACTCTGCAAACAAAGATTTAATATGTTTTCGCCAGTCCCGGGTCCACTCATCACAGAACAGTCCAGCGGAAATGAGCTGATCCCACATCTAGGAACAGAACAAGCCTATCAGTTGACTATTTTTAATAGCAATGAAAAAATCAGTCTCACTGGGATTTTTTGGACTCACGTCAATATAATGAAAAAAGACTTTTTCCTGTTCAGACGATTTGGGGAATAACTCCTGGATCCATGATTCTGCTACATTCATAAATTCCTTGAGCCCCTGGGTCTGCTTAAGGACCCGAAAATCCTTGAAGATAAAAAAAGGAAAAAGTTACAGAAGTGGTAAATTCAGCTTTTCATCTCCTTTATAGACATTAAATCAAACACTTGAAAAGAAAATCACTAATTTCAAGACTGCATTTCAAGACTTGATACTATTCAGAAGCCTAAATATCAGGTCATTGGAAAATTCAGTTGTGCAAAACTCATTATCAGATGTCTGGGGAAATGACAGATTTAAGTAATTCTGGGAGCTACAAGAGAAAATAACTGAAACCAAGGGCCTGTCTATATTGGGAAGCTACTGCGCTGAAACTTTCTTGCTCAAGGGTGTGAAAACACCACCAACACCACCACCCCCAAGCGCAACAAGTTTCAGTGCTGTAAAGCACCAGTGTAGACAGGATCCAAGTGCTGGGAGCATGAGGTGGTTTACCTAGAGCGCTGGGAGAGCTGTCTTCCCAGTGCTCGTGCACGACCACACTGTTCTTTTAAAGCACTGCCGCGCAAGAGCTCAAGAGACGAACTGGGCCAAATTGCAGTGATTCAGTGAGCAAACACTTTTTTTAGGGTTGCCATCTTGTGCTTCAGAATCTAAACTTCATGAAAAATAAAGTAATTCTTCTAAGGCCTCAAGGGTGCTAACAAACCCTCCAAATTGTGAGCAAAAGTGTGATTCAAAGACACCATAATAGAGGCCCACTTTTCAAAGACACCATAATAGAGGCTCAACTTAAATGTATACCTCAAATTAAAAAATACAATAAAATAACTAAAAAAGAACCACCATGGCTTAACAACTATGTAAAAGAAGCAGTGAGAGATAAAAAGGCATCTTTTAAAAAGTGGAAGTCAAATCCTAGTGAGATAAATAGAAAGGCGCATAAACACTGCCAAATTAAATGTAAAAATGTAATAAGAAAAGCCAAAAAGGAGTTTGAAGAACAACTAGCCAAAAACTCAAAAGGTAATAACAAAATGTTTTTTAAGTACATCAGAAGCAGGAAGTCTGCTAAACAACCAGTGGGGCCCCTGGACGATCGTGATACAAAAGGAGCACTTATAGACGATAAAGTCATTGTAGAGAAACTAAATGAATTCTTTGCTTCATGGCTGAGGATTTAGGGAGATTCCCAAACCTGAGCCATCCTTTGTATGTGACAAATCTGAGGAATAGTCACAGATTGAACTGTCACTAGAAGAGGTTTTGGAATTAATTGATAAACTTAATGGTAACAAGTCACCGGGACCAGATGGCATTCACCCAAGAGTTCTGAAAGAACTCAAATGTGAAATTGCGGGACTATTAATTATGGTTTGTAACCTGTCCTTTAAATCGGCTTCTGTACCTAATGACTGGAAGATAGCTAATGTAACGCCAATATTTAAAAAGGGCTCTAGAGGTGATCCCGGCAACTACAGACCAGTAAATCTAACGTCAGTACCGGGCAAATTAGTTGAAACAATAGTAAAGAATAAAATTGTCAGACGCATAGAAGAACATAAATTGTTGGGCAAAAGTCAACATGGTTTCTGTAAAGGGAAATCATGTCTTACTAATCTATTAGAGTTCTTTGAAGGGGTCAACAAACATGTGGACAAGAGGGATCCAGTGGACATAGTGTACTTAGATTTCCAGAAAGCCTTTGACGAGGTCCCTCACCAAAGACTCATACGTAAATTAAGTTGTCATGGGATAAGAGGGAAGGTCCTTTCATGGATTGAGAACTGGTTAAAAGATAGGGAACAAAGGG